GCGCGCTACCACGCCTGGCTAATTTTTTATTTATTGAAAAGATGAGGTCTCACCAAGTTGCCCAGGCCGGTCTCGAACCCGCAGGCTCAGGCAATCCACTCACCTCAGCCTCCCAAAGCGCTGGGATTACAGGCTGAACCACCGAGCCCTGTCACACCTGTAGTTTTAAAAGCCAATTTTTGTGCATGAATTTTGTGGAATTTTTTTTATATTCCTGTCATTTATTTTTTAGTGTAAGTGGTTAACACATTTGCATTTGCACCCATATTCTTTAAGGAAAGATTCCTTTTTTTTTTTTTTTTTTTGAGTTGGAGTCTTACTTGGTCGCCCAGACTGGAGTGCAGTGGCCGCTCCCGGCCACCGCAGCCTCGCCTTCTGGGCTCCGGCGATCCTTCCGCCTCAGCCTTCTAAGTAGCTGGAACTACAGGCGCGCGCTACCACGCCCGGCTAATTTTTGATTTTATTGTAGAGATGAGGTCTCGCCAAGTTGCCCAAGCGGGTCTCGAACCCGCGGACTCAGGCAGTCCTCTCACCTCAGCCTCCCAAGGCACGGGATTACAGGCTGAGCCACTGAGCCCAGCTAGAAAGATTGCTTGAGTTACTCAGGAAAATCTCTCTTCTAAAGAGAAAGTTTGTCCTATTGTTGCTCCTTTGTAGTTAAGAGTCTTTACTGATAAACAGCAGCACAACTTAGACAGGGCTCTTCTGGTTACCTCAACTATGTAGGGCCACTTAAAAGCCAGTGAGAGACTGCTCCAAAGGGAATGAGTTATCTCAGTGATTGTTCATACCATCTTGAGTGTCTGTCACAGGTCTTCTGGTCTTAGTGCAGCCTTAGCCTTTGCTATGTCTGCGTTCAGGCTTTTTGTACATCCTCTAGGACTCATTAAAACCTTTTGACAACTTTATCCCACACTGATCGTTCTCCTCTCCCTCCAACTCCATTAGCATATATCTTCTGTACCAAAAATGTTAGTAGTGAATTATGAATTCTTTTTTTGACAGATAAATTCCTGTTCCTTGTGGACATGGACTGTTCCTTGCAGTTTCTTTGGTAGGGGGAGGTTTCATAGCACCCGTTCAATGATGGGCACAAAATAGGGGCTCAATGAAATGTTTGGTGGTTGATAGATAATACGATCAAAGAAAAGTGTCAGCCAGGAGCTAAGAATTTCTTAATGTCTAATAAATATAGTAGCAAAAAAAAAAGAAAACAAACCTCCATTTCTACTCCTTTGCTTTTTATTACAAAAAGCAGCAACTAAATTGTTGAAGGAAAGAGATAAAGTTAAATTTGCGTCAGTATTCTTAATAGGGAGAGTATTGGGCACTGTTGCATATACATATTGGAATAACTTTTGCTGGTCATAAGAAAGCTTTGGGTTGTTTACCTTCAGCCCTGGTGTGACAGATGAGAAAACAAAGTACAGAAAATAGAGACTGATTTTCTAGGCTGCCCCAAGTTACCATTTTTTAAAACTGCCTGCAAGCATGTCTAAAGCAGTAGTCTGATAGCTACAGTTGCCAAACCGGTTTAACAGCACTGCCTCCACTTATTCTGGGTGAGAAGGAGCTCCCAGGACATAAATTTGTCAGAGATCACTATCCCAGTCATCTCAGAACAAGTTGTTTAGTAACGTACTGGAGTTTCTGGGCAAGCCATCTACCATAAACCACCCCATGATTCAAGGTTCATAGTTCCTTCTTTGTTCCTTTGTTAATCACTGACTTCTGACTAGTGGGAGGTGCCTCCCAAATTTGCTAATGCATTCTTTTTGGATAAGGATGACGCACAGATTGTCCTAATAAGGACTTAGATTGAGAAAAGGACCGCCCCCTCTGAGAAGATGGGACAAGTCAGAGAGAGGGCGGGCAGTTTCTTTTTTAACTAGGGATGACACAAGCATAAGTCATTTCCTTATTAATCGGTTCAAACCAGTTCTTACAGGAACTGGTGGTGATAAATGTGGAACTTCTCAGAAGTCATTCATTTTATTCTTTGTACCCACACCAGTGTGCAGGGTCAGCTTAGCCGGCCTCACTCTGGGGACTGACTCTCCTGCAAGAAGTGGCTCCTGATTTACAGCTTTTAGTTCCTCCCAGACATGTTGTTGATGGGAGAGATTTTGCTCCTTTAAGAGGTTGTTAGAAGGGAGAATTTTTTCCTGCTAAAAAGAGTTCACAGGATTTCAACAACTCTCTGATAGTATTTTATTCCTCTTCCTGTTTAATCCCTGCCTTTTGAGTCCAGGCGGTAAGTAGATTTTCCTTAACGTTTTTCCTGCTTTTCTTCCCAATGTATCTTCTTCCTTGGCTACTGTACCCTGCTTCCAGTGCCGTCCCCGGCATAGGTCCGTCTCTTCAGAAGCCATTCCAGGAATACCTGGAGGCTCAGCGGCAGAAGCTTCACCACAAAAGCGACATGGGAACACCGCAGGTGAGACTTCGTTCCAGTTTCTTCTTCTCCCCTCTGCTCAGTTTCAGGCTGAAATTACATTCACAGCCCTCACTCACGTTTTTAAGCAATTCCAGTGAGGCTTGTTTGCCAGTCTGTCATCACAAGTTGAGGCTCTGTGTACGCTCCACTGGGGAATATGTCTTTGTCTTAAACCAGAAAGTGTAACTTCTGTTTTGTACATCTTCTCCTTAAAACAAGGGTAGGGCTAATGGAAAATAATGGCTCAGTTATGGAGAATGAGTTGTGCCTTGATCTTTAATGATTTATTAGTAGACACACTCACCAGGTAGATTAAGAGGTTAAAATTGACAGCCCAACAAAGCATTAGACTTGAATGTATCCCTTGGTTTTTGCTCTATTCTTCTTTTCAGCCATGAGAAAAATGATCGTTTTTTAAATAAACCAAGGCTGTGAACATAGCTGAACTTTAAAACTTTGACTTAAACTCAACTTGTCTTTTCTGTAAATAGTTCTGTGGCTAGGGGAAATAACTGGAAAAGGACGAGTAAGCAGGAATCTGAAACGGGAAGCTTCAAGGAAGCGCAGTTGTTGTTTTAATGCCCTTGCAGTCTTCACGTGGCCCTTTGCTGCCCTCATTTGACCAGTCATGACTTCAGAAATAGCTACATTTATATTTTTTCAAGTTTCCTCGTATTGGAACAAAAATATTTAAACTGCCTTGATGCTATTCAGCAAGTATCTGCATGAGGACTTTAGAAGGATGATGACTTCACAGATGAATTTACTCAAAGACTTTCTTAGGTCATAGTAAAAGAGATGACTCCGCACTCACCCCATTTTAAACTATATGAGTCAACACTGACTTTACAACCAAAAAAGTGAAATCTAGAGAAGTGGGTGTAAAAAGGCCTGGATGGAGATTTCAGGGTAGCTGGGGATACATGCCTTTCTTTTGTAACTGTTTAGGCATTAGGGGTTATAAGCTTCAAGTTCCCATTTTCCTCAAAGTTTTGTAGATGATCCCCCTTTTACTAATGAACTAACAAAGCCTTCCTTGTTGTATTGTTCTGCATTTTCCCCCGCAGGGAGAAAACTGGTTGTCCTGGATGTTTGAGAAGTTGGTCGTTGTGATGGTGTGTTACTTCATCCTGTCTATCATTAACTCCATGGCACAAAGTTATGCCAAACGAATCCAGCAACGGTTGAACTCAGAGGAGAAAACTAAATAAGCAGATAAAGTTTTAACTCCAGAAATTAGAATGAATGGGTTCTGCCTTAAATTGGGAGGACTCCAAACCAGGAAGGAAAATGCCCTTTTCCAACCTCTATCAATTTTAAAAACTTTTTTTCTTGAAAGCAGTTTAGTCCATATTTTGCACTGACATACTTTTCCTTTGTGTGTTAAGGTAAGGTATCCACCCTCAATTCAGTCACGTTGTATTTTATTAGGGTGGAATGTGATGTTCAGCAGCAAAGTTAAGAATAACTGGCCTTGATTTATTATTTCAAAAGGCTCACATAGTACAATTGGAAATTTCTGTCATACACAACAAAAGTTCCTAAGTATGTTTAATATGTCAAGCCGTTTAGGCTTGTCACAAATGATTGCTTTGTTTTTCTAAGTCATCAAAATGTATATAAATTAGATTGGATAACAGTCTTGCATGTCTATCATGGTACAATTTAAAACGCCATCCTGCCCAACCTTTCCTTTCTTACCCTCAGAAAAAGGCCATTTTATGATGCATTGCCCACCCTCTGGGGAAACTGATCTTTAAATTTTGAGACAGTATAAAGAAAATCTGGTTGGTGTCTCACAAATGAGCTGACACTATTTTTTATTCTGTATATTTAGAATGAAGTCATGAAAAACTTTATAAAGACGTCTTTGATCATTCCAAAATTGTGTCTGTTTTCTTGAGCATTTGACTTTTTACTTCCATTTAGCTTCTACCGACTGAATGGCAGTTTTGCTTAATCCACCAGAATTTCTTAAGCCTTCATTTATTTGCAAGAAAGAGGCACCACTAAGGCATCTTTTGTTATGCTGAAATTGGGCAGCTACTTACTGCTAAATGGCACCTCTGGGATTTTGCCTAGCCTGAGGAGTTCTGGTTTGTGAAAACAGGAGAGGAGAGGTGATAATGCAAATCAAAGGATATTGGAGAAAGAAATTACTCAGTTTTTTTTTTAAATCACACATTCTCATATCTGTTAATTTTTGCTAGCATGTACTCTGGTTTTAACAGAAATTTGCTTTTATGTATTACCCAGTTTTCTTGCCTTTCTGTAAGTGTTTTATGCTTAATGTGATTTTGTTTCCGTTGTGATGTTTCTGATTGAACTTGTTTGTTTTGTTTTGCTTGGAAGGAAAATAAACAATTTCACTTTTTTCCTTTAGGAAAATTGATACTGACATTGTATCCGAATAGAAGTTAAATCAACAGGCCAAAATGCCTGCTTATTTGATCAAATCCTACCTGAATGTCTGCTTGTTTTGCCTACGTCGTGACATCTCCATGGCTGTACCACCTTGTCGGGTAGCTTATCAGACTGATGTTGACTGTTGAATCTCATGGCAACAGCAGTCGATGGGCTGTCTGACATTTTGGTATCTTTCATCTGACCATCCATATCAAATGTTCTCATTCAGACATTACCCAGCATCATGGTTTATGATCAGAAACGCTGATCCCTATGTCTAATGGCAGTTTTTTGAGTCCTTTATGCCAATGATATTGCAGCACTGTCAAGAGAGGACTTTATGGGAAATTGGGATCGTCACAATGACCACAACTACAAAATAAAGGACACGTAATCTGCCTTGTAGGTTTTGAAAAGGTTATTGTACTTCTTAACAATCTTTTTATTTTCAGGGATTTTCTAGCAGTGTGACTATTACCTGACCTTATTTGGAAAATTGTATCCAAATGCTTTATTTTAGGTAGAATCACATTAACCAACATAATTCTTTAGATTAACAGTTAAGTAAGTCGGCCTCCAGTTATGTTTCATCTCCTTCACCTACATTTTATTTGGTGTTTGTCTGAAGAAAGGAAAGAGGACAGCAAATAAGAATTGTACTGTTGGTACTAAATCTTTGGGATTTATTGCTAAATTTGTTTCAAGGTGGTATATTAGAAAAAGAAAAGCTTTATTCCTAGGCTGATGTTCTGATTCATACATTTGACTTATGATGACCAGTTATCCACCCTAAAGAATTTGCATTCAAAGCAAATGAAGAGCAGCTCTCCGTCTTTCCTCCCTTGAGTGTTCAGATGTGGCATGCGCTGGTGCTCCTACTGGATTCCAGATGGAGCACTGTGGTATCCTTCTGTTCCAGTGGCTTGTGTATTCCTTCTCGTATCCACCAAAGTGGACACAACTGCATGGTCCCAGAAATATACAGTACCTAGCTGATGGGATGCCAGAAAATTTGCAAGTGGATGGTTTGATAATACTGTAAATAAAGAGGGCCTGGGAATTCTGATTCCATCTCTACTTTTGTGTCTTAAACGTCTACAGTGTTTTAATCATGTTTCAACTCAGTGACTGCCAAGCAATACAATATATCAACAATATGTCAGTAGTTTCTACAAGTAAGGGCTGAGGAGCACCTCCCTTAATACAGACAATGTAACATGGAAATGCGAGTGTCCAGTTTGCCCACTGTTTTGTATTCTCTCTCTCTCTCTCTCTCTCTCTCTCTCTCTCTCTCTCTCTCTCTCTCTCTCTCTCTGTGTGTGTGTGTGTATTATGGAATGTCGGACTTGGAAGAAAGATTTTTTTTTCGTTCACCTATCCCCATTTGAGAATCCAGAAAAGGCAGGTCTAGAGTGAAGTTTCTTAACTGCACTAGTTCATGACTGAAGCCTCTGCAGTAATGAATGTTCCTACACAAACAAGGTCAGCCTGTGTCCTTGTGGAAGGCTCTCTGTAGCCTCCATAGAGCAGCATGAGGCTTTTCTGTTTTCACTAGTCATTTGACAGTAACTTGCATAGGAATCACACACTCACTAAATAAAACCACCAGTTGCCCTCCTGTACCCTGGGTGAATTTTGTTTAGATCAGTCTATGTGTAAAAGAACCCATAAGAGATTCCTAACCGTTTAGTGTCAAAAATCCAATTTTGAAACCCATTCACCATGTGCAATCATCTACATTGATGACAGATTTCTGCCACATGTTATACGCAATCCAAGGAAGTTTTAAATTGAGCCTAAATTTCTTTATAAAAATTGGGGAGACATGGACAGGTTGTCTAAGAATAAATTGGGTAACATGTAAAGGACTGCAGTAAATAGTATATTCCCAATTTTTTAATCCAAAGGCTGAGCAGCTAGCATACATATGCAAGGATTTCACAACAATGCATTCACTCCTCCAGAAACAATATCTTTAAATGCTGTCTTAGCATATGTGCTCTTGTCTTTGCTTTTTGTAAGTGAAAAAACATTTTCCAGCCAGGCATGGGGGCTCACTCCTGTAATCATGGTGCTTTGGGAGTCTGAGGTAAGGGAAACTCTTGAACTCAGGAGCTTGAGACAATCCTGGACAACATAGTGAGACCTCAACTCTACCAAAAAAATATAAAAGCCAGGTATGGTGGTATGTACCTCTATACCCAGCTGCTTAGGAGGCTGAGGCAGAAGAATCACTTTAACCCAGGAGGTCAGGGCTGTGGTAAGTCAGGATCATGCCACTACATTCCAGCCTGGACCACAGAGTGAGATGCTGTCTCAAAAAATTTATTTTTTTACAAAAGCTAAAACAGGCAGGGCGTGGTAGCTCATGTCTGTAGTTTCAGCACTTAGGAAGGCAAAGGCAAGAGGATTGCCTGAGCCCAGGGGCTTGAGACTAGCCTGAGCAACAGGGCAACACATCCTCTCTACAATAAACCAAAAAAAAAAGCTAAAACAAACCAAAAATCCGTAATAGAAAAGCAGAAATTACTGCGTTAGTGACTTAAGACCAAGACTTTGGCTAGGCATGGTGACTCACGTCTGTAATCCCAGCACTTTGGGCAGCAGGGGTGAGAGGACTGCCTGAGCCTAGGGGTTCAAAACCAGCCAGGTCAACTTGGCGAGACCTCGTCTCTACAGTAAATCAAAAATTAGCTGGGTGTGGTGGTACACACCTGTGGTTGTGTACTTGAAAGGCCAAGGCAAAAGGATCACCTGAGCCTAGCAGGTGAAGGCTGGGATAGCCATGAGCATGCTACTGCACTCCAGCCTGGGTGACCGAATGAAACGCCAGTTAAAAAAAAAAAAAGACTAAGACCTTGTTTAAATTTAAAATAACCCCCCCAACCAGACCGGGCTCAGCCTGTAATTCCAGCGTTTTGGGAGGGCGAGGTGAGTGGATTGCCCAGGCCCGCGGGTTCGAGACCCGCCTGGGCAACTTGGTGAGACCTCATCTCTACAATAAATCAAAAAATTAGCCGGGCGTGGTAGCGCGCGCCTGTAGTTCCAGCTACTTGGAAGGCTGAGCGGAAGGATTGCCGGAGCCCGGCAGGTCGAGGCTGCGGTGGCCAGGAACGGCCACTGCACTCCAGTCTGGACGACAGAGTAAGACTCCAACTCAAGGAAAAAATAAAATAAAACAAACCCCCAAGTACCCTACTCAAGACAATATACAAAGCACACATTATATAAAATTCAGTATGAAATAACTAAAAAGTTTTCTAACTTTCCCACCTAAAAATGTTGACATTTCCTAATTATTTTCATTACAAAGAATACTAATACTAAAATATCTCAAGAGAAGAAAACAAGGAAATACCAGGGTTTTTTTTTCTTTTGCTTTGGAGGCTCACTCTGTCGCCCAGGCTGGAGTCCAGTGGCACACTCACTGCAGCCCTGACCTGCTCTGCCTCAGCCTTCCAAGTAGCTGGAACTACAGGCGTGCGCCACCATGCCCGGCTAATTTTTTATTTATTGTAGAGACAAGGTCTCTCCAAGTTGCCCAGACTGGTCTCAAACCTGTGGGCTAAGGCTTCTGCCTCCCAGAGCTGGGATTATGGGCATAAGCTACCATGCCTGGCCAAAACATCAGCTTTTAATACCTTGTTACAAAAACCTCAATCTAGAAAATCCAGTTAGATTTACTAGGTAAATAGGTTTTAAATCATTTTAAAATCTGATGGCATGCAAGATCTTCCTCAATAGACCTGAAAGTCTCATTTCTCATAGGAAATACAAACAGTTGCTTCATTTTATTCATAAATTATTTTAAATGTGCTACAAAAAAATTTAAACAACCTAAGCAGTTTAATAGGAATTTTTGCCAGATATAGTGGCTCACGCCTATAATCCCAGAACTTTGGGAGGCCAAAGCGGAAGGATTGCTTGAGCCCAGGAGTTAGAGACCAGCCGAGACAACATAGCAAAACCCTGTCTTTACAAAAAAATTAGCTGGACATGGTGGCATGCGCCTGTAGTCCCAGCTACTCAGAAGGCTTAGGTGGAAAGATTGCCTGAGCCCAGGAAGTTGAAGGTGCAGTGAGCTGTGATCATGCCACTGCATTCCAGCCTGAACAACAGAATGAGACCCCAACTCGAAAGGAATTTTTGAAAGCCAGGTAACATTCCATCTCTAACATTGATCAAAGCTTCCCTGATATTCACAAATCATGGCAAATGAGATGCTACACAAAACCACTGCATGTGAAGGTGTTGCTGCTTCTAAAGACAACAAGAAAAGAAAGCACATAATGTACTTTAAACTCTAGAAGCAATTGAGTCATTTCTAAGGTACAGGGCCTTGGGTTCCTGTCCCTCCCTTCCCAACGAGGCTTAAAAGTTCACCTGAGGTAAGACGTTTGCCTTAGGGGTGAGGCCTTGAATTGCTGCAAATAACCTACATGTATTTTCATATTAAGCCAGTACTCATAAGGATTATACAAAAACCTGTTCTAGACAGCTGCTTACTCATTGCCTTTAGATTTACATGGTGCAGGGACTGGCAGGTGCCAACTGTTTGCTCATTCTCTTTGACCCACTAGCCTTGTACAGTTTGCTGTGTGGGTGTTGATACTGCTAAATTAAAAGGGGATAGAGAATTGTTTTAGATGACTTTTAACACCTGCTCTCTACCCACACACCCTGGATTCATTTGATATGTGGATTCCAATTCTGTAGTCAAGAGACTGGCCCAAACCGTGGTCCAGAGAGGGTGAGTCAGTTGCAAGTGGCTGGCTGACTCGATGGGAACAGAAATGAAATGCAGCGTACAGGGTTTGTCAGCCAAATCCACAAATGTGTGGCTTTTTGAAACACTGGACATCTGTTCCTCTTAATTTAAAATAAACGTGTTTTTAAAAAGCACCAAGTTGCTTGGCTCCTTGTTTCTTTGTGTCAGCAGCAGTTGCTGCTCTTAGGAAACCCAGGATCAGATCTAGGAAATTGAGAATCTTTTTTTTTTTTTTTGAGTTGGAGTCTCAGTCTGTCGCCCAGACTGGAGTGCTGTGGCTGCTCCCGGCCACCGCAGCCTCGCCTGCTGGGCTCCGGCGATTCTTCCGCCTCAGCCTTCCGAGTAGCCAGAACTGTAGGCGCGCGCTACCACGCCCAGCTACTTTTTGATTTATTGTAGAGATGAGGTCTCGCCAAGTTGCCCAGGTGGGTCTTGAACCTGTGGGCTCAGGCCATCCACTCACCTCAGCCTCCCAAAGCACAGGATTACAGGCTGAGCCACCGAGTGAGCCGGCTAAAATTGAGAATCTATAAGGCACACTTCGAACTAGAGGGTGGAGCTGAACTGCTTTGAGACAGGAAGAGGATGACTTTACAGTATAGGGTTTGTGTGGAAATCCCCTTCAGGGTACTCAACCCAGGTGTCCCACCTGTTAACCATTTCCAAATGACTCAAAGCACATGGAGTGTTTGAACACACTCCAGCACTAGTTCCACAATTTAGTCTTCATTGACATTGGAAATCACATCTCTGATTTTTTTTTTTTTTTTTTTTCAAAGTCTCACTCTGTCACATCACCAAGGCTGGAGGGCAGTGGCACACTCATGGCCACCACAGCCTCGACCTGCTGGGCTCCGGCGATCCTTCCGCCTCAGCCTTCCAAGTAGCTGGAACTACAGGCATGTGCTACTACACCCGGCTAATTTTTCTTGATTTCTTGTAGAGATGAGGTCTCGCCAAGTTGCCCAGGCTGGTCTCGAACCCATGAACTCAGGCAATCCTCTCACCTCGGCCTCCCAAAGTGCTGGGCTTATAGGTGTAAGCTACTGCTCCTGGCTTCATCCCTGGTTTTTTGAGGGAAAGGCTGCCTTCTTCTGGGCAACTGTGACTTGAAGTGAGACCTTGACCTGTCTCTAAGCTGACAGAGCCACCTCTTGAGAGTTCCCCAAGAGTATCTTTCTGTGCAATTAGCTCTGCTGGCCTTTCACCCAGAGTCCTCTGAGGGACAGTGTTGTCCATTCAAAGAGGCTCCCCCCAGCTCCCCCCATCTAAGCCCAAACGTGGCATTTCTTTCATCC